TCAGTGACTATTCACTGTTTTCAGCGATAACCCACTGAATGATTTTTAGAGAGTAATTATAATTTCTAGTAATGTATTTTTAGTTGCATTCAGTATGCAACTGAAAATCGCAGTGATATACTTACAACTGTAAATCAGTGACTATTCACTGTTTTCTACTAGCAAAATGTATGGTACAATTTCAGAAAACTCTCACAAAGTAGTTCAAAATGCCATGTTCTCCCACAATTACACGATTTTCAAAGTAAATTTTGCGAGAAAAGTCTCTCTCCGTGCAGAACTGAACTAAATGCTTATAATCCCGGGTCGAAATTTTGGCCCTATGTTGAACCTGTGATTCCATTATATAGTAGAACCCGAGACAGTAAAAGAGGTCGAACTGCAAGTACAAAATTTACTCCTGCTTCAAAACTGATAGTTTCGGAAATTTCTACTTTTGCCAATTTAGCATTAAAGTAGATCCTTGTAAGTAGGAGCTAATGTAATTTTTAGAATTAAAGATTCAAGGGAAGACGAGAAAATACAATGCCATCAAAGTAGGTTATTGCTGGTCTATGTAGGTGTATAGATCAGCTAAGTAGGTGTAAATTATCCCTAAAAGTGTCGAAATAGTAGGAAATAGTAGAAAAAAGAAAACATAAAATAAAATAAAAGTAAGCAATAGAAAAATAAAGATATAAACCTGAAGCACGTTACACAAAAATATAAATAAATATGAGAGAGAGAAAGGAAGGAGGGGGGGGGGGAGGGGGATGAGAGAGAATTGCTGAACGCACTCGAAATCGATAACGCAGAATATTCAACCGATGTCGCAAATACGAGTGCTTGGCGAGAATACAAACTGGGAGCGCCGTGTATACATTTCGAGGGGCGCGAAACACGCATAATTCAGAAATATCGGTGGCGCCCGCGCGCTCGCGGGATAATATAATAAATTTGCTATATTCCGCGCCCGTGGCGTCATTATCTCCTCGCGCGCGTGCTGTTCGCGATTCCGTTGCATTTGAACGCCCGCAAAACGAATATGCGCCCCGGCGCTACCGGACGGCAATAACGTTTCGCGAGCAAATGGCCCGCCGTGACGCGCGTCCTCTCCAGCCTCTCGCCCCGGCGCGCGCGAAAGAGACGGGGGATTTATTAAGGATATAATTAAAGAGGAAAGTTACACGCGAGAGAGACTTTTCTAAGATTAAGCGCTTCGGGCGCGACTTTTTCGAGACTCGGTAAAAGCTGCACGGAGACTTTTTGTCGCGCCCGCGCGCCTTTGTGCGCGGAGAGGAACGGCGTTCCACTTGGCGCGAACGATCCGTCGTCCTTCCACGCGCTGCTACATCGAACGGGCTGGTTAAATATAAGTATAAAAGTTATATATACGGGAGGAGAGAGAGCCTATAAGCTGGAAGAAACGCGCGCTCGGGGCGAGACGAGTCGGCTCTGAGCGTCGCCGTCCCGACGGCGCGGCCGCTCGCTCTAATCGGCGCCACGTGCGAGACACTCGCGGCCGAGTGTTCCGTGAAACGCCCGCGTTCGTGCCCGTCCAACGCCCAGGAGGAGAGTCCGTCGTCGAGATGCCCCGCGCGATAAAGCCCCTCTCGTCGCGACGAGAGGGTAATTCGGGCCGCGGCGGTCCTCGACGGCCGGGATTCGGCGTCGTCAGCGCCCGACGAGGCGATCGACGCCACGTAAGCGCGATTAAAGGCGGTCGCGGTGAAAAAGAATCGCCGGTTTCCCTGCCCCTCCCCGCGCGGGGGAGATCCCGAGTCGTGTCTCTTCGGGCGGCGGCGGGAGGATCGCGCGTAGGCGAGTCCGCGACTCGGCTTGCGAAACGCCGACGATTATCATCGGCTTGCGTAATTTACGACTGCCTCGCGCGCGCGCCCACCTTCGCGCGCTTCTGTCGCGGATTCCGACGTCTGTTTGTCCATTACGGCGATCGATGTTATCGCGCGCCGATTAAGCGCACGGCACACTTCGCGCGATAAATACGCGCGACGACCCCGCGGCCCTCCGCCGAGGCGGAATGAGACAGACCGAGCGTGCGGCAAAGGATCGTCGCTTCGATTCCCCAGGTGTCTCGGTGCGCTCGCAAACAGAACGGACGTTGCGGAGCGCGCGTGATCGCGGACAGGGACTTCCCCGTGGAGCGGCGCGAGATCGCGACCAGCCACTCGGACGCAGAGGTGAGGCTGAACGTTAACGAGCCGCCCCGAGGCTCTCGCTCGGCGCTTAACGAGACACGTATCGAGTCGGCTAGGAAAATAACTCGGCGCGAGGAAACGAGAACGGCGCACCGGAGCGTGTCGCGACCGAGGGGGTCAGCGGAGTTGCTTTGACAGCTGGGCCGTCTCACGTCGGCAGACGTGTGTCGCGCGCGGCCCGGGGCACCCTCGGCCTCGGCCTCGGCCGACGGCGCCGGGCTCCGCTGCGCTCCGTCGACGACGGCGACGGCGACGGCGCGCGCTCGCTCGTAGTACTCGTCACTCACCAGGTGCAGCACGGTGTTGACGACCTCCCGATTGGACACCTGTCCCACCTCGATCAGGCCGATCAGCACGGCGAACTTGAGGCTGTCGTTCATCGCCATCGCCACCACCTCCTCGGGCCGCTTGATGTCACTGAACGGCGGGCTCTTGAGGTCCGCCATCGCGACGGACGGTGTTTTTCTGACCGCGACCGCGAACGCGCCGCGCGTCCAGCACTCGCGGGCTCACCGGGGGGACTACCGATCGCTTCGCACGGAGGTTACGGTCCTATCAACGGGAGCGTTTCGCCGTCACATGATAGTACAACACAAATTGATCTGCCATGTTAGAAAGTGGGCACTGCTGTGAGCACTGCCAGCCGCGCCGGCCCGAATGTTCCTAGGCGGCCGCCCGACGCGCGCGCGACCCACGCCGGCGCTGCCAAGCGCCACGGCGCATGCGCCCGACGTCGTCCGCGCGCGCGATAATGACCCTCGACGTTAATTAACCCCTTCGGAGACCCTGGCGCGCGTGCACGCGCGCGTTTGGCTCTTTTCAATTTTTTTTTCCTTTTATGTTTAGGCGCGTATATTCTGCAAAATGCTCCGTAACGCTGTATCTCTGTAGGTTACTAGAAATATTCTATTTTGTAGCCCGATAAATGCGTTTAAAAAATGTGCGCGAGTGGAACCGCACGCGGAGAGAATTTTCTCCCAAAGTTTAGCCTGAAAATTATGTAATCGTGGGTCAACGTGGCGTTTCGAGGAACTTTGAGAGTTTTTCTTAATTTTACTAGTAATTACACTTACAATTAGTACAATTTCAAAAAACTCATAAAGTTCTTCAAATTGCCACGTTGTGCCACGATTTTTAGGGTAAATTGTCAAAGAAAATTCTCACCGTGTACATTGTATACAACCGTAAATTGTTGACACATTTTTTAAGCGTTTCAATTTGCTTGTATAAAATAGAATGTTTCTAAACGCGAAGAGCACATTGTACAGCACGTTTATAAACTGTGCAGAGCACGGGAGAAAGAACGGAAAAAATAATAAACGGCGAATAATGCAATGAACGAAAACGGGAATCGTGTGCGATGACAGACATTTGCGTCGCTTGAAACCGCGCGGTGCTAACATGTTTTGCTGCTTTTCAAACTCCGTCCGGAAAGATTCACTTGTAGCAATAATCCTCGGTAAACGTGAATTCAGTACCGGCGTTAAGCCCGTATCGGACTACGGATTGGGATTGGGATTAGATTAAAATTTGACCAATTAGAGTAAAGGTTACTAAACTTAAGATTGTAAACTTTACTGCGATTGGTCAAATTTCAATCTAATCCCAATCTCAATCCGTCGTCTGATACGGGCTTTAGGGTGGAGCGCGGTCGGGCGATCGCCCAGGGCGCCAAGTTTGCAGGGGCGCCGTTGCCTGACTTCACCTAGTTTGAGAGAGCGATAGAGATTCCCCAAAATATAAAAACAAAATGGGGTTCGTCGTTCGATGTCATCGCCTTGTCTTTTCCCCCTCAAGAATTTTGAGCCCTTGAATTCGAATGGGCGCCACGATAAACTCGCTCAGGGCGCCAATGTTGCTAAAACCGACGCTGCGCGAATTGGAGCTCGCCTCATCTCGCTACCGCCTCTTCGCCGCGAATCAATCAAGGAAAATAATCCCGCGTCGTCTTATCAACGGCGTGGGATCTCGGCGACGCGCGGCGCAAAGCGCGATATTCTCCGCGCGCGCGAGACGAGCGGCCAGCAATTTTACAGCTTCTGGGGGGCGTCCAGGAGCGTCCTTGACTGGTCGGTCGGTGCTGCGCTCTGGCGGCAGAGCGTTTCGCGCCGAGCCGCCGGTCACCGCCGCGTCGCGGCGACCAGTGACGCATGCATACTCCGATCTGAGGGGCCGCGCCGTGGGTCACGGCTTCCGTCGAGAGTACCCGGCACCTTCCCGTGGCGTTCGCAGCGGAACCGCAGGAAACATGGCGACGGAGGAGCTCGACCGCGCTAAGGTACCGACGTGAGAGCGTCCCCTCGCTCGCGCGCGCCCCGACTCCCACCCGAGTTCGTTGAGTTGACGCGCCCCGGGAATCCCCCGGTCGTCCCGCGACTCCGCGTACCGTCCCGTCGAAATGCACTCTCGCTCGCCGAACTCCCGCCTGGGGGGACGTTTAAAGGGCTCGCCTGTCTCGCGGGATCAATAGATCTACTCGTTGACCGCAAACAGTCTCCTCCTCCTTGCTCCCCGTTGACGCGTCCTCGACGTTCCTTCGTACGAGCACGATTGTGTTGAGATCTGCGGAGCTGCATGCGTCGTACACGTGTGTGTTCAGGGGTGTTGGCTCCCGGGCGTCCTAACTGTACGTCGAACTGCCTTCGCGCAGCTATTTCCTACCATTTATGGACGCACCCGTCGCTCCTTATCCGTCCTCCCCCCTTTTCTCCGAGTCACCGTGTCAACGTGTACTTTCTGTTGTCAGATCGAGTCCATGATACGCACGCTGAAACTCTCCGGCCAGGTTGGATTCGACAGTTTGCCCAGTCAGCTGGTGAATAAGTCTGTGCAAAATGGATTCGTGTTCAACATTCTCTGCATCGGTACGACCAAGTGTTAGCCTCGCTTGAGATTTCCTTGTACACATAACTGCGTCGTGTGTCTCGCTGCCGAGTTAAATGGGCTGGTAGTAAATATTTAGCTTTTAACATTCGCTTGTTCGCGACAGGTGAAACCGGGCTCGGAAAGTCGACGCTTATGGATTCACTTTTCAACACGAGCTTCGAATCTAGTCCCAGTCCCCATAGCTTGCCGTCCGTCAAGTTAAAGGCGCACACCTACGAGCTGCAAGAGAGCAACGTTAGACTGAAGCTGACCATCGTCGACACGGTCGGTTACGGTGATCAGATCAACAAGGAGGACAGCTTCAAGGCGGTCGTCGACTACATAGATGCGCAGTTTGAGGCCTACTTGCAGGAGGAGCTGAAGATCAAACGCAATCTGGCGACTTACCACGACAGTCGCATCCATATCTGCCTTTACTTTATATGCCCCACCGGTCATGGGTAAGCGTGCGCGATGTGTTATAAACTGGCGCGTTACGAGAATTGCTCCAGCTTCGTTCTTTATACTTTTAGCTTGAAATCTATTGACCTGGTGTGCATGAAGAAACTGGACACCAAAGTCAACATCATTCCAATTATTGCTAAAGCGGACACGATATCGAAGACTGAGTTACAAAAGTTTAAGGTGCGTCTCCACCAAAATTACTTTCGTTTACTCTTATGTGTCCGTGTCGCCCTGGGGCTCGATTCTTGAATTTATTCGAAGGAGAAACGTATGCGAAAATTCTGCTCTTACAGAAAAGTCGCAAGTTGATTGGCCACTCGCATGGCTTTAACCAATAGACTTTCAACTTTTCTGTCAGAGCAGAGTTTTTGTATACGTTTCTTCTTCGAATAAATTCAAGAATTGGGGCCCCTGTGCCGCAATTCTATAGCGTCTTGTAACTGTGTTTCAGAGCAAAATAATATCCGAGCTGCAAAACAATGGAATACATATTTATCAGTTCCCGACCGACGACGAAACCGTGGCGAGTGTAAACGTTACCATGAACACTCACGTACCCTTCGCCGTCGTCGGCAGCACCGACTTCGTTCGCGTGGGCAATAAGATGATGCGTTCCCGCCAATATCCGTGGGGCACGGTTCAAGGTAAGATTCGTGAGGTTCAACTTCGTTATTTATACTCGAGGAAAAGCCGCAGACATCAGTTGTCCTTTGTGTTGCAGTGGAAAACGAGACTCACTGTGACTTCATAAAACTGCGCGAGATGCTGATAAGTACCAATATGGAAGATATGCGCGAGAAAACGCACTGCCGCCACTACGAGCTTTACCGGAAGAAAAGACTGGAGCAGGTACCTTTCGCCGTCCGTCAGAAATATCGCGAAACCTCAACCGTTTCGTAAAGTTTCTCGTAAACTTTCAGATGGGTTTTAGCGACGTTGACAGCGACAACAAGCCCGTAAGTTTCCAACAGACGTGCGAAGCGAAGAGATCCATTCACTTGCAAGAGTTGCAACAAAAGGAAGACGAGATGCGACAGATGTTTGTCGCACGAGTGAAGGAAAAAGAAGCTGAATTGAAAGAGGCTGAGAAAGAGGTAATCATGTTTTAAATATTTCTAATTCGTGTTTATTATTTTATTGCCGTGGTTAATTGTTACTAATGTTTATTGATTTTTTGTTAAATGCATCCCAGCTTCATGGTAAATTCGACAAGCTGAAGAAAGATCATACCGAAGAAAAGAAGAAGTTAGAAGATAGTCGTAAGAAACTCGAGGACGATATAATGGAATTCAATAGACGAAAAGCGCAGTTTGCGCAACAACCCCAACATCACACGCTGACGTTAGGCAAAAGCAAAAAAAAGTAAAGCGTATTTCGACACTACGACATCTTTTTATACTCTTTTGAATCTGACCATGCATCTTAGTTGCATTATCCAACAGTAGTATTATTATTTTAATAATATACTTGTATACCTGATATTATACTTTTTAATTTTATTATAATACATTTTATAAGTATTCCGTATATATTAAATATATACCAAAAATTTTTCTAGAGATACACTCTAAGTCGCATATGTTTCGTATATGTTTGATTATCTAGAAGTAACTTTAACGAAAAGTAATGTTTTACCAAACATATAGTATATTTTTAAATTAATTTGTAATGAATTTCATTTTATACGAAATATATGTTTAGAATACAAATAAAATACCCCCTCTCCTTCTCACTTAATAAAAATTATTTTACGAGAGCTCATACAAAAATGAGAACAATCGATAGCAAGTAATTGTGGATAGCCGGCGGGAAATAATGCAGTTCTTTTGTAATTTGGTTTAAGAGATTTTCAGGTATAGTGTCGAGCGAAATGGAGCTAGTTTTATTTCTAGGATCACAAGATCATTCGGGAAAAGGTAATACCATTTGGATATAAATAAATACTGTCTGGGGCAGCTGATGTCAGGAGCTAAACCGTGCGTGGTGGTGTTGCTGGTTATAAAATGTTCAGAAACATGTTACTGTCAGACATTTTATTGTTCAACAAAATATAACAACCGATATAATAGTTTTGAACTTAGTTGAAAGGATTAAGATAATGCTTGTGTACAATATTATTCTGCGTATTAGACAAAATCTTAAAATTCGCGAAATCCTAGTGCAGTTACGAACAAAGACTAAACGTATGTAAGTATATGCGGTACAATGCTATTTTAATTCTTTATCAATAGCCGAATACTTACGACGAAACAGTATTGCGGTAGACAATAATCTGTTTTAAAATACGCGTTTATCAATTATATCGCTTCGGTATTTTTCTACGAATAGTAACCCAAATTTACAACCGTTTAATATCATCAAAACACAGTTTCTTCTATTTTACGCGTCACAATATTAGCGCATGCTGGAAAGTTCGATCAATAACGTAATCTGTAATAAAAAGGCGCTTGACGAATCGTACGTATAAATAACTTATCAAATATAACAGATCATACAGTTTACACGCAAAATCCGCGGATATTACACGTTAGCGCGGTATAAAGCAGGTACGATTAACTTAGTTCAATTATCTGTCGATATGTCAGGGGGCGATGTATTATATACAATTACATAATATGGCGGAAATTAGTTTAATTAGGCAGGGCGGTTTTAAAGTAAAAAGTAACTCCCTTCGCAAAGCAATCGTATCTGCGTAACGTAAGGCCCTGTATCCAGCGTGGTGTCTCGTTAAACCTAAGCTTATCGCATTGCAGTGCAAATCGCAATTTAACACTGATTCTACCTCACCAAGGATGATGGAACGCCGTCAACTGATTATTTTGTAAAAGACCGATTCGTAAAGCGCAACCGCAATCTTCCGGCGCAAATGACACGAACGATAAACGGATGACGGATTTAATCGGCTTCAACGAGCCGACATTACTCGTCGCGTGTTTCTTTGCTTTGGTATCCCTTTGCACACTGTGCTCTTGCACTTCTGTAAGCGGAATAATTATCTGGTTTAATTACCCCGGCGATGCGCCGATCAATTTTATCTCCCTTAATCTATCATAGGTATTTATATAAAAGTACAAAACATATATATATGTTTGTGTGTGTGTGTGCATATATCGTGGCAATTACCATGAAGCACTTTACATGTTAGGCGATACAAGTGGTATTAGATAGTAATCGAATGCTAATGTGTATCTATAAATTGCAGGGTCGGCTGAAATGAGAGTCGCATGCTCGCAAACGATTGCAACTCGAGTAAAGTTGCGACAAATCGATAGCGTACGTTTTTTTTTAAATCTCGGAAACAAACGTTTCCATTCTTTGATGATACGTGATTAGCGGCGGTGAACTTTTGTGCAAAGAAAAATTCACTTATCGAGCTCGTGTGACAAATTGCACGTTGCATGCGATTTCTAATTTCAGGTGTGCAGAAAGTAATACGCAGACAATGAGGCCGACCCTGTCGATTATTACGATATAAGTGCCTGATCGCGTGCTCGCTGCAAAATATGGCGGTGCACTGTAAGAATATATTTATAGGGTATATAGCAATGACCAAAGCGCAATTGAAACCCGAGTTGAATGTTAAAAGCTTACAACATCAATACTAAAAACGTAACGATCTTATCCAGTCGGGCTATGACATTTTTGTAAGGCCGCTGTCGTTATACTTGAACGAAAAATGGTACACGGAGAGAATCTTCTCTTAAACTTTACCCTGAAAGTCACGTGATCGTGGGACAACGCGGTATTTCCAAGAACGTTATAGGAGTTTTTTGAAATTTTACCAGTTACATTTTACCAGTAAAATGCCTACTGACCCTGCGTCCCGATATTCACTGTCAGTACTGAAAATGTGTAGTATACGTGACGTAATATATAGATTTGAGTGCTGGCAGTGAATATCGGAACACAACCCGAGTATAATCGCTAGTTAAATGGCAAGATTTCAAAAGACCCTCATAAAGATGTTGAAAGCGCCACGTTGTCCCACGATTACACGACCTTCGAGGTGAAGTTGAAGAGACAATTCTCTCCGTGTATATTAACGTATCGCAAAGGAGTGTTTCTGAAAATGAAAAAAAGATTCGTCGATCTTTTTCTAAGGCATAACGCGGACGATCTCCTACCTGAGATTTTAATTGCACTTTTATTCCGTTTTATTGCACGTACGAGCGTCAGTACGCTCGAGCTTAAGTGGATTATTTCTTCGAAAGGCCTTATTGTTGTTCGTATTATTACAAGTATAATAATGATTATCGCGGTGACGCAGTTGCGAAAAATTAAGTTTGGTCATTGCGGCTTAAACGCTACCGTTACCGAGGTGCGGCGCGCTTCCTGGTCGAAGGAGTTCCGGGTAGTCGCCGCGAAAACGTTAGCGCCCGAACGATGTGATTCGAGATGAAAGCGCATGGTTGATTAACGCGCAAAGGTCCGAGTAGTCCGAGTCGCGGAGGCCGATCTTGGGATACGGGACTCTGACCATTCGTTGCTCTCCTTAAAAGTCGCGTCTACCCGGGGGCTACCCTTCGACACCTGCGTGCTCTTCAACCACCTGACGTGGACGTAGCAAAAATAGCGATCCCTGTGCTTCTGTATACCGTCGTGAACGACGCGCTACGTGATTTACTACGTAACAAATTGTACGATTCGGGATGTACGAGTGGGCACACACGAGAGTGGCGGAGGCATCGTATGTGCATACGAACCGGCGTACAGGCGGTGCGTGTGCCGGTCGATTTCTCGCCGTGGGGAGCCCGCGAATAGCTAGTATATACGAGTATCGGAATGTGCATAAGTGACCGCGGGACGCTCCCGCGGGGCCGCCTCTCTTCCCTCAAAATCGCCAACTCACCGAGCGTAGTTGGAAAGAAGGAATGTATCGTGCGTGGAAAAAAAAGAAAAAGTCGTGCGGCGATGCGTGGCCGCCGTGTATCCTCGCGGGTGACCCGAGCCGCCACGCGTCGTTTCGCCGCTCGCGTCGCTTGGCGCGCACACGTGCCGCGGGGATGTGATAACGGGATACACCAGTGTATCCGGGATACATCGATTCGCACGTGCGCCAAGCAGCGAGAGCGGCCTCGCGCCACGTGGTGCCAGAGGTGGCCCCGGCCCCGGTCCCGCGCGTCGCGTCATCAGGCACCACGTGGCTCCTCAGGCGAGCGAGCGACGCGAGAGGCTCGGCTCCGACGGCGCGCTGCGATACTTGGCGCGAATGTGCAAGAAGCTGTCGTGCTTGGTGCCGCGGGCGGGGGGCGGCGTGCCCTCGCGGCTGAGGACCCTCACCTGACAGGGGTCGTGTCTCGCCAGGAAGTGCTCCAGAGTGTCCCATCCGCCGCCCACTCTCACCATCATGTGTCTCCCCTTGAGGAGCTGCGAACACGTCAGCGGCGCGGTCATTAGACGGCGACGTGATATGAATAAAGAAAGAGGAGAGGAGATATCTCGAGATATTCGGGGACAGGAACCGCCGGCCGCCTCTTTCGAATGGACGGGGGCGCAATCGCGAGGAGCGACTCGAAATATTAAGCGACTCGTCTTTGGAACTTTTGTAATATCTAGCATGCGATATCTTTAATTTTCTAAGGGCCTCCCTGATGGAAAAATTTTGCTGAAAATGTAATGAAATTGATGAAAAGTGAAATGAAAGTTTTTGGAAACTTGTTGAAACCATTTCAAAATAAATCATAAGTTTCGTTATGAAATTCAATGAAATATTGTGAAATTAGATGAAAGTTAATTAATATTCACTAAAAATTAGTGAAAAAATTTTAGAAATGTTGTATATTATGAAATTTGCAGAATTTCACTGAAAATAAATTTTTTAATGAGAAATTGCTGAAATGATAATGAAA